GCTAGATTCTGTACTTTGTCTAATACAGATAAGTGAGTGCAATAGGATGAGTCATAAATGATAGAACCATACTCCAAAGCCGGGCGAACACAAGCTTTATACAAGTGAAGACGTAACGAGGGCGGATGCACTATTAGTGTCCGGTTTAGCTGTCCAGAAAACTTGCGAGTTGTGTGTTAATAGATATAACTAAACGTTTCGATATTGTTAACATGACTTTGACAATGATAGAATAGAAGTTGATATACTATCATTGTCAAAATCATGTTAACATTGTTTTTTAAATTTTAATAAATGGTTTTAATTTTAGATTGTGAAAATATCTCGTTTTCTAACTACTGAGGATGATATGTTAACATAACGAAACGTTTAGTTATATCTATTGATAAATACGAAGGGAAAAGTTCAAAGGTATTATTTTTTTTAACTAAATTTTAATTATATTTTTCAGTGGGTAGTCAGGTATTAGTCAAGCAGCAGATATTAGTAGAAGACACGAGATATTAGTGACATATTAGTCAAGTGAGCGCAGTGTGCGCCATGAGAGTGAGTAACTAAACAACATTTCACGAATATATTTGTTTGCGCAATATCTCACATATTTTGTGTGTTTGACAAAAATGTCATGCGTTGGAGTAATATCTTGTGTATTAACTAATATCTTCTTTATATCTTTTTTCTTAGGATGTCGGACATCCCTTATACATTTACTTTATTTGCTATCTAAAGCGAAAATCTCAGCTTGCTAGATAGCTGTAAGAGAAAGTTCAAAGTTTCCTGATAGTAACTGGGCCAGCTGGTTCAATTAAAAGATGTTCGATTTTTTCGATGTCCTGAAAGTAAAGCGGGTACAGAAAACTGTTCTTTATGGTTTTTGTTCAGAAGAATAACCGATTACTACATATTTTTTAATGGGATCTTCTGGTTTTACTTTGACAGTATTCAAAAATCCTTTCGAGCTTCAAGTAAAAAGCTCACGTTCAAACAAAAATATAACCTGTATGTTCTGCTAAAGATTAGAATAATCCTTTCTTGTCATGGATGTTAATTGTAATACGAATTAAAAGTCCTACGGGTTTATCTATAGAAGCTTATGTTGGCTTCGGCCAGCAAAGATGTTAGAGGCTCTATATGACAAAGGAAGATCAGCTTTCAATTGATCACCGTGAGCTACTTGGCTGATGAAACACTTCCTTCTTAAATTTTTATTGTTCATAAAATGTTTTGTTGCACAGAAAGGCACAGAACTGACAAAAAACATTTTATTACAGTTACCTCATAAAAAAATGGGCGTTTTATCACCAAAATTATTCATTGTGAAATGATTAGGGTGCCTTGGGCAATTATGCTCAGGTCCTCAAAATTTTGTCGTATTTCTTCACTCAACTATTTTTCATGGGTTAATTATGGTAAGTCCAAGTAATTTGCGCGGAAAAGTCAGAGTTTAAATACCATCGGCTTTCAGAGACCGATTTTACATCAATGGCAAATAGAGAAGTTATAGACGAGATTGTTTTTTATTATATGAAGTGAAAACTGGAATAAGATCGCTTGGTTCTAGCGATTTGTAGCCGTCTGATGAGTTTTGCTGAATTTTAGCACATTCCTTTACCTGATTTTGACAGTCCAATTAAGGTGGTACGTGTAATAACTGTATAATTAAAGATGTGTTCTGCTTTTCATATTCAAGATTACTCCTCTATCTCCTGAGTAAAAGAAAAATGTTAAGAGATACATTTTTATTCGAATTATGCAGCATTCGATTCAATCAGCTCAAGTTCCCATCGTGAAGTTCCAGTTTCACTTCATATAATAAAGAACAAATCTCGTCTATAACTTCTCTATTTGTCATTGATGTAAAATTGGTCTCTGAAAGCCAATGGCATTTAAACTCTGAGTTTTCCGTGCAACTAACACGGACTGACCATAATTACCTCATGAAAAATAGCTGAGTGATCATAATTACTTCAAAAGACTTCTTTTCGAAAAACACAGTCTCGTAGTTTCTAATTATTAATTAACGGTAAGCACAAATAGCACGCAATTCATACAGGTGATAGAGCTTGTAATTCTCTACAAAATGATATAATTTGTAATTATTGTCCTTGAAATCCCCCGTTGAAACTAAGTTAACTTAAGATTATCGCAGCCATTTTTGCCGTATTGACTATAATTACCCTATTTGGGGTAATGGGGTAATTATGGTCAATCGAAAGATGCTTTCTGGAAATTGATTAGTACTAATTAACGCTAATGAGTTTTGAGAGAATCTTTACATCAGTTGATAGCCAGTAGTCACCTCTATTCATCTGTAAAATGTCGCTTTTCTCGGATAAAAATTGAGCGAACTATAGCAGAAATACGACAAAATTTTGAGGACCTAAGGCACTCTACCACAAATGAGACTGTTGACCACCAAATTTATAAATTAATTAGGTAAATGATTTAGAACAACGAGAAGGAATAAAACAGTTAAGCGCTTCACTGAATACTGTGCTCAATCGAAAAGCATCAAAATGGTCAAAGAAGACCTTTTCTGATCCTTTTTGATCAAAACCGCTTTGTCAGCACACAAAACAGTCATAAATTATTTCATGAAGGAAAATTCCTCTTATATTACTGTAATGTAGGCGAAACAGAAAGTTGAAGAAACAAAGAATCATTTAGAAGGTATCGGCAGGCTGCCCTACAAAATTTACGATTCGAGGGGCATTTGCAGAACTGCCGCCTGAAATTTGGAATATTTCGACAGATATGCACCTGCCAGGATTAGCGGACCCGCTGAATATTTGCCAATCAACGTTATTTTTTGTAGGGCACCCATTAGATAAGAGACAAGATAAAGGTCGTTCAAGAAAAGTTCGTAGATTTTTCGTTTTGTTCTTTCTCTTTGTTGTAAATTATGCACCTAATTAACTTATAAATTAGGTGAACCAAACAATCTTTTTCCTAGAAAGATTATTCTTATCATTTACTGTTTGAGTTATGACATTACCTTCACTTTACAGAAGCAAAAAAGAAATTTCACAATATATACCTGATATATTGTGAAAGGCTTATAAAAAATAAGCCTTAAATATTATATTTTTATTAGTTGAAGAAAAAACTTAACATTATGAGTTTTCTTTCAATCATAACGAAACTCACTATCTTATATATATTGACTAAAATCGTTGATTCATATTCATATGCACCGGCTCTGCATTCATGTGCCATTTCCGCATGTCGAATAAACATAACATTTAATCAAGAATTTAATCAATCGGCTTGTATTAGACGATCTGCTCATGTATGCAGCTTTACGTTGCTTACAAGTACACGGGCTAACACAATCTCGCTTACATTTCGACCTGGGAACTTGTCACCCAATGAAGTTGTAAACGCTGACTATCAATATTCTTACAAAATAGTTATTGACACAGAACAAGACGATGTACAATATGATATTACCTATTCCTGTTATAAAGGTGATATTTGTGATATTGAATATCTGACACAGTTATTTAGAGAACGACTTAATATTAAATATAATGCTATGTGGCGTTTGTTTGATCCGTACTTTATGAATAGTGAAATTGCCCATAACTTGGAATGTAGCGATGCTGTTGATGATACTAACATTACGACAACAACAACATGTAACGGTGGTTTATGTAAAGCACACATGGATTATGTTCAGCCATCTCAGTCAACAGCTACATGTGTCCCGGATAACGTTTATCGTCAAGTGTTTTATGTTCAAAAATGGTATGCTAACTGGACTGAAAAGAGTGTCCTATACTATTGCAATCAAAACTACTGCAACGGACACCAGTCATTTAATGCAATCAAAGATATTCTCAATCGTTATAATTTTTCAATCACTGAGAGTTGGACAGCTCCACCGCCTACTACCATTAGAACACCGTCTTCTGCGTACACTTCAATTTTTATCAAAAAAGAATGCTATGGAGTTTGGGTTATGGCGTTATATATAATGTATGTGTGACTTGCGCTGTCATTGTACCGTTTCCGTGAAAAAACCGTAAAAAATAAACTGTCTTGTAGACCTTTTTTGACGATTTCAATAAAGTCTGATAGCTCAAGCGATAATAAAAACCTAATTCTACCGACTATCACTTTCATTTTCTCAGAAAACGGCTTTTCGCTACGAAAGCATGCTAATCCTCGATGTGAGGATATGGATCCTCTAGTGGCTAACTCTAATCGTAGAAGTGAGCTATAGTGAGAATCAACTCTCACTCCGATATCTTTATTTGAAGGAAATGAACGGCTATATATAGTACAAAAGTTAAACAAGAGTTTTGCAAGAGTTGCGCATGAGTTACATAAGAACAGAAAGAGTTAGGAAAACACACTGCGAAAGGAAACGAAAACGAAAGAATGAAACAAGAGTTGCGCAATAACAGAATTGCGCAAGAATGGTACAAGAGCAGGATGAACTTTATGAGCTGCCGGGGAAGACAGATCATAACACTCGAGTTCATTGCGATGAATTCGACATAAAATAGCCTTAAAAATTTCGTTCTAATACATTAATCGATAGATCTCGATGAGATCTCTCTAACTATCTGCGATTCAATGCGTTTTATTGGCAGCGAAAGCGTCTTTGATGAAAAGTTCTGAGAAAATGTATCATTCAAGATTCTTCAGCTTCAAAAAATCAACTACTGCGTGAAAAGAGTATCAGACGTGGACGATTAGACTTGTGTGGCGAAGCTTTATGAAATGGTTTAAGATACAGTTAAATTTAGTGTATTTTTCATGGGAACATGACGGGTTTAATCTCACTCGACATTTTTCTCAGGAATGAGAAAATGTTTTAAGTCGCAGGTTTGGGCATATGCTGTACAACGCAAAGGTAAAAAGGGATAAAACAATCGCTGTGAAAAGTTGGGTAGTAACGGAGATATTAGAAAAACAAAATCGAAAGTCTCATAAGACATTTAATGTGTGAAACTTGTTTTTAGAAAAAGTAATTGTCGCTTTTCACAGTACAGGGAGAAAAGCTCCGATTACGGAGAAGGTTGCAAAATCCCCAAACGTTTTGTTTGCAGGAAAAACGCGATAACTGTTTTCGGTTTAATCATGTAACTCTGGAGCTATTATTTTCAGGTTCCTTATGGGAAACTGGTTCTAGGGATTGTGTTCGTAAGTCCTTAAATCCAAAAGCCAAATTCTCGCGTAGGTGATTCACGTTGAAAAATTGAGAAACGTAAATGATGAATCCGATATCGATGATGGGTGGTAACTACAATGCCGCAATGTATTAGCAACAACAGCAAGTTATTTACAGCACAGCTATGGATTCGGATGGACGACTGATGTATTCGATGATCATTATACGAGCGGCACGTCTCGTAAAGGAATAACAAGTAGAAAAACAACCGTACGATGCGGATAATCGACGAAATAAAATTCGTCATGGTAACATTCGTGATATATTTAGAGCTGATGTGCGTTCAAAATACCGCTGGGGCTACTAACAGAGAACAAAACCATTGCGCTGAAATTCTTTTAAAATTAGAAAAATTATTTTGGCTTAAGAAATAAAATAAACACGAAAAAATATCAGTTGTTTTAATGGTGCAAGTACTATTTATAACAGAGAACTGTCTTTAGAAAAACTAAGGACAATCTAAGATACTTATGTCTCCCGATCAGATATACACTAACTGTTGTGTTCTTCGTGGTTTCAAGGAACTGGATAAAAAACAAACGTTAGTTGTTTGAAATATAAATGTTTCTGTTTTTCAACAATATACGACTTTTTCACACATTTAAGTTTTCCAGTTAATTTTGATTCTTCAAAAACCATGTTTTCGAAAGCAAAATGAAAAGGACGTTTTCCGATTTTTGTTGAACTCAAGTTTTTCACAGTGCCCACTTTGTGCTTCATCAATGTATACGAAAATACTGAATCAGTGAAATATAGGTGAGAAAGGTGTCTGTATATCCTAGTCGAAAAAATGCGAAGATTTTCTACTTTGGAAGCTTCTCCCGTTTTTGGAAAAACGACTAAGAAAAGTAATTTTCAATAGAAAAGTTTTAATTTTAGAATTTAGTTTTTACTTCGGAACGAAAAATTCTATGTCATTTTGTTCAGTTCTTTTCGCTCTTGCCGATGAACTATATATTTTTCAAACAGCGGATTAAATTTGACATGAAAAACTATCAAATAGTTAAACATGTCATTTTCGTGTGAGCATGCTTATAGGTCCTTTAATTAAAAAACTCATATCTTCGAGATTATACGGTGCCACAGATTAAAAATTTGGATGTACAGATTTCAGGTAGCGGAGAATACGATGAGCACATCTCTATAAAATAAAATTTTTATATGCGAACGTGATATTGGCCTTAGTCGGTTAGCTGACGAACTCCCCAATCAGTTGTTCAAGGCGTACTTCGAGTGCTCGGAAATACGCTTTCGATGGACCTAGCCTGTTTAGGTTGGTAAACTCCCGATGAAATTTTGTTCTAATCAGTTAATCTCGGAAAATGTGGTATAGAATAAAAGAATCAGCCGCATTTATCTTTTTCCAATGACGAACTTTTTGAAATTCACGGTCTATAAGTTTGGCTTCGAGGGTTTTTTATTTTGCCTTTAAGCATCCTTTTTGCAATGTCTTTAGCTTTGTCCGTATTTTAAATAAACAATGATCGATAGACATTTATCAAACACAAACAATAGTGACGGACGCATGAACATTTTCTAAACTACTGTTTTGAATGGCTTTGTTAAAAATTAAAAATTGGTTAATTCGACCATTCACGGCTTCTACTATCTAGGCATGCATCGGTTACGATTAATCGATAACCGAACAGCCAGTGGAACGGTTAACCGTGACCTTTGCAGGCGTACTACTATCCACTTTATGACTGTTATAAAACGATTCATGTGTGCCTCAAGGGTGGGTATTGCTAAAAGACGCGAACACCCACGAACAGCTACGAACACCCCCAAATTAAAATCTGAGTTAGCCAATCGATAGAGCTCGTCGAGCTGAGTATAGCAACGTCTAACGAACACCCAAAAAAGTGCGCCAAATCCATCTTCAGGTTATTCTGGCCTGAGGGTGTGGTGTGGGTGAACCTACC